GGAGAGAGAGAGAGGCAAGGAAAACATGCCTGGGGGAAGGGGAAAGGCATGGGCTTGCTCCATAGAGAGATCTGTGCAAGGTCCCCCATTCTCAGGGCTTTTAAGGATGGGGATTTTAGGGGCAGTACCATGGGAGGATCTCAATAGAATATTAATCAGCTTTCCAGGAGTGCCCTTTCAGGGCTGTGGTCTCCACTGATTGGTCGGTGCCAGGATAGGGGGTCATTTGAGTCAATGCCAGCCATGGCATCGCTTGTCTGCTTTTGCTGCTTGTCTGGGCCTGAAGCTGAAACACAACTGAGGCCCAGATGTATTTGATGCAGACTGGAACCTCATTGTTCTGGGGGCTTAATGCTTAAGGGCTATTCTCCGGCCCTTTGTTCATTCCCCCTCAAAGGGGGTCTATAGCACGACTAGCCACATGCCAGGAGAGGAAAGGTCAGGGGAGGTTCTAAACTGCATGACCAGCGATATGCTAGGGGAGGAAAGGTCACCCTGTGGGCGAGGTCCTTGTTTCCCAGTTTTTCTCATTGCTGAGCACCCAGGGATTTCTACCCAGGTGACCTTCCGTACCTGGCCTATGGTCCTTGCTCTGCTCATGTCTGCCTAACTGCCAACCACAGTTATATATATATATATATATATGTGTGTGTAATTGTGTGTCTGTATCTATATCTATGTATATGTGTGTCNTATATATATATATATATATATGTGTGTAATTGTGTGTCTGTATCTATATCTGTGTATATGTGTGTCTATGTACATGTGTATGTGCATGATTATGCGTATGTATGTGTAACTGTGTATGTGTGTCTGCATGTGTTGAGTTACACTAAGGGACACAGAGGGGCAAACTCCAGGGGTGCAAGAGCTGGCAGGTTGAGGAGTAAGACTCACTGGACAGACCGACAAGGGAGAGGAGACAGGGACAAAGGTGAAGAGGGAGATTCAATTTCAGATGGGGCTAGAAATCCAGAGGCTGGGCAGGGACTGGAGAATGACATCCAGACCCTGTGGAGACAGAGGTTGAGGGTGTTGGTCACTTCAAAACAGGATATGAGCTCTGCAGAAGGAAAGGTACTGTATTTCTGGCCAGTGGGTGGGACAGGAAAGTACCTGTTTCCGGAGTGGGGCAGCATTCCAGTTAGAACTCAGATGAGACTGGTATGCAGTTGATCTCAAAGGCTTCCATAAGTTGGGTGGTTGTGGCATCTCTGGTTGTGGGTAGGAAAGCTAATATCAACCTCTGAGCTTCAGCCAAGCTTTCCAGTTAGCAAGATGCCAAGATCTATACATGAAACTAACCAACGCCCCATATGGAGGCTAAAAAGTAGCCTGTGAGAGGTAAGGGGGCAGGGTGAGGGCGGGAAGACCTTGGAGTTCTGAAGGCAGAAGAATGTAGAAAGCAGGGAAGGCTGTGGTGGAGGGGAATAGAGGACCGGGGAGACCTGGAGTGTAGGGAGCCCAGGAATATCTGGAAAATGGAGACGGAGGGCTGTGGCCTGGAGGGCCAGGATGGGCAGAGCCCAGAGGAATATAGAAAAGAGAGGGAGGGGGAGAGGGCAAGAAGAAAGGGGTGAGGGAAGGATGAAGAAAGGCCATTCCCTGGAGGAGGGGGGTCAATCTCGGGGTGAGAGATTATCCTACAGGGCTTGGACTACTTGCCCAGAGGCCTCAGTCATATCCTAGGCTGTTTAAACTGTAGGTCTAAGCGCCCCCTTGAGGGCGGCGTAGGGGTTGTTCAAGTCCACAGGCTGCCCAGCCAAGGTCTGTCTCTAAACTTCTGGGGGATCCTCTGCAGCACGGAGCTTCATCTTCCCTCCATCCCTACTGTCACTTGTCCCTTCTTGTTGTTAATCCTCACCTGAGGATATTTCTTCCATTGTGTTTTTTGTTTTTTTTTTTAAATATATCTTTATTGATTTCAGAGAGAGGAAAGAAGAGGGAGGGAAAAAGATAGAAACATCAGTGATGAGAGTCATTGATCGGCTGCCTCTTGCAAGCCCCCCACTGGGGCTGGAGCGGGAAACCCAGGCATGTGCCCCGACCGGGAATGAAACCCCGATAGCCTGGATCCTAGGTCGAAGCCCAACCACTGAGCCACGCCCGCCGGGCTCCACTGTGTTCTCAGAGAGGGGGAAGGGAGGGAGGAGGAGAGAGAGAGAGATGGATGTGAGACACGCTGGCTGGTTGTCTCGCCGGCCCGCCCGGAGGAGGCGGGCGAATCTGCAGCCCAGGTACCAGCCCATGACCCTTCGGTGCGCAGGTCCGCTGGCGGCAGCCAGGACCTTGAAGGCCTCCTGCCCAAGACCCGCTGGGGGCCCTCTTCCCAGCACCCACTGCATTACCGAGAATGTTCTCTGCACCATTCTGTCCATGTCTCCCCGCTAACCCTGAAGTGGCCTGGCCTCCCCTCCCCTCCCCTGCCTTCGTGGCAGCTGCGCCTTCATGTCTTCTGGCTGACACAATAGGTTTTCAAAGGCTGGTGACTCCATTACAGAATTTCACCCCTAAAATCTCCCTATCCCCCAGGCCCCACGCAGGCTCACAGCTGGCACCTCCTGCCCCCTGGGTATGTCCTCCTGCCCCATGTTCGTCTCCCGGTTCCCTCCGGCCCCTCGCGGTGGTTCCCTCCGGACCCCCCACCCCTTCCCTGTTCAGCGCCCAGGCCAGAGACTCACCTCACAAGGAGAAGAAAGTCACCGGACAACCAGCCCTGACCCCACACTCTTGTCGGGCCTCCTTTGTCCTGTCAGGCTCAAGGTGCTGGTGGTAGGACGGCGACGACCAACTTAAGAAGGGCACATCCCTGCCGGCGCTTCCGCAGCCTCGGGAGGACGCCCCCCGGGAATCCCATACAAGTGTCAGTTTCTCTTTTAAGATTTCACAAGGATTGTGTAGACGCAAGCAGGATTCATAAGCCGAAATTAAAGCACAGTCACTTCTAGTTGGAGAAGTATTACCTTTCTAAAGTAATGTAAAGTATTATCTTTCTAAAGTAACGTAAAGTATTATCTTTCTAAAGTAACGTAAAGTATTATCTTTCTAAAGTAAACATTTCATGTCCTATCAGTTATACGCCTCTAAAATCGCTCTGGCTAAAAGGAGCATAGAAACCTCGATAGCGACCGGAGCGTATGGGTCTAAAAGCCTGGCTTGCTCAAATCCCAGGGCTGTCAGTCTATTTCTTAAGAAAGTCCATAAGTACTTAGAGAAAGCAGAAAACAGGGAAGCCCAAACCTCCTCTCTGCGCCTATTGAAAATAGCCCCAACTTCTTCTGTGCGCCTCTGGAGAAGAGTAGCTACAACTTCCTGCAGAGGATCCATAGCCTTGTCCTTCCTGAGTTCAAACTGAAGTGTTCCTTGGAGGAGGTCCCTTTTTATAGAGGCAGCCCCTCCCCCACCCGAAGCCTTGGTAGGGCACCCACTAGTCAGATTCCCCAACCCCTCCTCCAGCCCAGCCAGTGGGGTGGCCATAATGACAATCAAATGCAGGAGGGACTGAGAGGGAAAGACACCCATTCCCCAACACACACAGTGCCAGGGAGCATATAGTCCTCCTACAGGACCAGCATTGTTTGCTTAGTAAGTTTGACTATTTGGAAGTTCTTCTAATGCTGTGATGGGCTAAACAGGGCCCCCGAGAGCAAGCCTCTGTCCCCGGCAGCTGAAGCCCGCTGACCTGGTAGCGGCCAGGAAGGGCACAGACCCGCAGCAGCCCTAAGCGCCAACACTGTTGTAATTCCACATATCCACATGTTTGCTTTGAGGAATAGGATCACACAGATGTTAACAGCTATTTTGTCATAACAACGACAGCCTGCTTATTGTAATGACCCCTTGCAAAGCCATCGGCCACCCCCCTCTGGTGGAATAGGGTCCCGGCTGCTGTCAGCTGCCCATGGCCTCACCGCAGGCTCTCTCCCCAGTGCCCACCTGGGTTTCCACCTCAGGGCTGACATTTGGGTTCTCAAGTGTGGGCTGTCTCCGTTCATTTCACAGATTCGCGGTGCCTATCTGAAACAGTGCAAAAACCACTCAGAAGCTGAGAAAGAGCTTCTACCCTGTGAGTTGTCTTGCTTGTCCCTCCTGATGGCCAGCAAGCATTGGGTTGAATCCTAGAGGATCTGACCCAGAGGTGGGGCGTTGAGACCAGAGATGGGCAGCAAGGAATGGCATGGAGGGATGGGCTCCTGTGCAGTCGGGATAAGCCAATTGTAAAGCCTGGGTGGGGTTTGGGATGTTGGATATATTGGGGATTAGGTGAGTGGAGTGGTGCCAGGGAGGAGGGCTTTTTTGGGGAAGGGCTTAAGGGTGAAGATGAGAACCCTGAATGGGAGGTGGACCTACCATTTGAGGGGGGAACAATTGAAGTTGCCTCCTTGAAGCCCAGGGTATTGCTCTTCTAGATTGGGATGGATTTAGGGGTGCAATATGGAGAATGGAGAGATGGGCAAGGACTTGAAAACTCACATGAGCCTGGCCAGTGTGGTTCAGCGGCTGAGAATCAACCTGATCCAGGGGATCACAGTTTGAATAGTGGTCAGGGCACATGTCTGGGTTGTGGGCTTGATTCCCAGTAGGGGCCAGGCAGGAGGCAGCCGATCAATGACTCTCTCATCATTGGTGTTTCTCTCTCTCTCTTCCCCTCTCCCTTCCTCTCTCTGAAATCAATAAAGACATATTAAAAAAGAAAGAAAAGAAGAAAACTCATATTAGTGCCCTGACATTGGGGACAAGAGGGAGCCCCAGATGTACAGGCCAACAGGGGGCATGAGACAAAAGCCAAGTGGGAGAGGGACAGGGGGCATCCGATGTGTGTGTGGGGGGGGTGTTCTATGGGTCTGGAGAGCGATGAGGGATTGGCGGACTGAGGAGGCCATGAACACAGAAGATGAGCTGAGGGTGTTTGGGGACTTGAGTCTGGAAGGGAGTTTGAGTGTGAGGTAATCAGACTTGAAAAGGAACTGGGATGGCAATCTGGGGAAGCTGATGAATGACCAGCAGGGAACAAATACACAGCAGGCAGTGTCCAGAGTGAGTGCCAAGGTTTCACAGTGTCAACCTGTGACCAGGTTGATGTGTTCCCCTTGCTTAGACATTTTCAGCATCTCTTGGGTGGGCTACAGAAAAGCAAAGTCCTCCTTTATTTCAGTAAACAAGCTAACCACATCCCAAGCATTTGTACGTGAGTGTGTAAGGCTGAACAGGAGTTTGGACGGGTGAGGAAACTGTGAGTGCGTCAGGGATTGAGGTAAAGCGTCACTTTGGAGCATGTGTCCCCTTTCCCTTTTTTGTTGACTTGTCAGAGTGAACTTCTGTGAGTCTGCAGGGGAGAGATGTGTGACAGGTCGCAGTGCTAGACCGGTAGGTGCCAATTGTGTCANAGGTCGCAGTGCTGGACCGGTAGGTGCCAATTGTCTTGGCCACCTGTCCTTGTCTAATCCAGGCTGTAACACTTCCACTTGTTGTGGATGCTGCTCTCCCACCTGTCCTTAGGTTGGTGGGTGGGATAGAACCCAGGTCACGATGAGCAGTTCTGGCTACCGGGCATGTTACTTTCCACGTTCAGATCCTCCATGTCTCCTGAAGCTAGAAGCAGGTCAGGAATGTTCTATTGCTGTAGAAACATGGCCTTGCTCCAAACCCTGGGCATCTGCATGCCATTCTCTTATTAGGTCCCACCAGAGGCTTCAAAACTGGCCTTTCATCCTTCTAACATGGATTAGATAGAGGTTCAAGTGCGGCAACGGGTCCTTTACTCTGGAGGGTACGTCCAGCATGGCCCAGACTAATGGAGTCCTAAAAGCCTCATAGATGTAGCAGATCCCTGAATGGTCGCAGATGTGCATGTCCCTGTGTTATCAGCGAGAGGAGGCGACCTCAGTTCTTTTCTCCTTGAATGAAAGACTCTATTCAAGAGACAAAGTGCGTCAAAGCAAGCAAGAATTTATTGTCTGCAGCAAAAACACACTCAGGACAGTGAAACAAGGAAGGGCCTAGAAGGAGCAACAGCAGAGCCCAGGCGGGGCGTCTTTGGCTCCCTGGGAAGTCAGAGAAAATGGGGCCTCGGAGACAGGTTCAGGGGGTGAGCCAGGGACAAGCTTCCACTTCCCATTGCTCTCCTTCTGGCAAGTCTCATGGGGTCCGTTGGAGTTTAGGAGATACGTGCCTGTGGGGGAAGGAGAAGGGAAAGGGAATGGCATGGGCGTGCTCCCTGGTGGGAGAGGGCACCCTGGGTCTTTTGCATTGAGGGTATTTATCTCTCTCTTGCAAGTGGAAATCTTAGGGTGGGGGGGCCTCAGGGTAGAATCTCAATAGAATATCAGCTTTCCAGATGTGCTGTTTTAGGGTCCTGGTCGCCACTGGTTGGCCAGCGCTTGGGCAGGGGGTCATTAGGCAATAGAACTGGTCGTGGGGCAGCCATGGTGTCACTTGACTAATTTTGCTGCTTTTCTGGTTTTGGGAGCTGAAATACAACTTAGGACTAGATGTTACCTTCAGGGAGGAAATGCGAGGGGGTGTAAAACGCATNGGGGTGTAAACCGCAGGACCATCAATATAAAAGGTCAGGAGTCCAAACCACATGACTAGCAATGTGCTGGGGGAGGAAAGGTGACCCTGGGGGTGAGGTCCTTTTCCCCCAGTTTTGCCCCTTGCTAGGCACCCAGGGCTTTGTGCCCTGGTGAGCTTCTCTACCTGGCCCATCATCCTTGCTCTATTCGTGTCTGTCTAGCTGCCTATTATACCTATAGCTCATGGGTCTCTCACACTTTGCTTCAATTGCTGATCGCTGGAGCTGATTCTGTCAGT